GATGCAAAACTCATTTTTGGCACATTGAGACATGGCACCTTTGGCTACCACAAGCTAAAGTTATATTCAAATTGATTGACCTAAATAGGCGGAACAACGAATTATTTCCAAGGCTACACCTGTCAATTTTTTGGAAAAATGGATATTATACCACAACGGTTGAAATTTTGTACCCAGCTCATTTAACAAAATGTCCCAAAAATATGACCGATAATTCAAAAATGTAATAATATACAGGGTGTTCCATTAAAAATAAGCGAGTAAGTACCTACTTCCGGTATAACCGGAAGTGGTACCGCCTTGAAAATCGTTACACAACATCGTTACCTTGTATTGGAACTTTCAGAACTCTGGTAATTTTGGTTTGGCGAATACTTCTAGTGTAAGCTCCCAAAGACGGACCCTGTATACTTCTACTTACTCGGATTTCAGTTGTAAATTCAAGTCTTGTCTGAGCTTATTAGGTATCTCCTGTACATGTTAACTCAAACGTACCATTTTGACAGTGTGCGTCATTTTTCAAGTGGTTTATTTTTTTATGACAATTGAATATCAGAAGAATCATTGAACCTTAAAATTTCTGCTACTTTGTTAATCCAAACTAATATTGAAACATTACAAAATAGTTTCTCTGTTCTTATTCTAGTTCAGAACGCTACGATTATACAACACATAAGTTGATTCTTCAAATGAAAACATTGATATTTTATTGCTGATTATAATGCTAACATTCTCAAAAATTCATTTTTTTCACTAACGGAACGCAGCCATTGTCTAGTCTAGTAGCCCCTTATTAAGGTTTGCAAACATCTCTTAACAACTTAAATAACTTAGATGAATGAAAAATGAGTGCCTAATTGAGTTGCTTGTTAATCGTCAACTATTAAATCTGCAGTTAACAACAAATACAGGAAATTTCTAGAATAAAAACTCTTTTTGATTTGAAACTGATATTACAATAAACACAATTCAAAATTTGGTTGGGAAAACTTAATTTTTCCAGGCTTGTCACATTGCAGATTAGCTTCTAGAAGAACCAGAACCAGAAGATTGCAAACAAGCGCTAGGTGATTAAGACGGCGTTCATCAGCGTGCTTGAAATGCCCTTTGAAATCAGGATGACTTAGAGTACAGGCTGGTTTTTGACTTCCCTTCTCAATTGCTGTAATTTTTATCGACATCAGAAAAGTGGCCAAAAACAATGAACCTGAATACAGTCAGAAATTTTGCAGTTAATCAGTCAGAAAATTAAGTTTTTGTCGTATAATAATACTGTTTCCGTTCTGATACTGTTTATTTAATGATGGGTGGTAGTTCTCTACATATTTCTGTTCCACTATGTAGCAAGTGGTGACGGGTATACAAAATAAGAAAATTAGTTAAGCGGGAAGCAGACAATTATCTGAAAATAAACTGATGTCTCAGAAAAACAATTTAAGTGAGTGAGTCCAGACCTGACGAGTAATTAATGCCAGAAGCTTCTACTTTCTAGAATTCATTTGAGCGAAGTGCGCCTCACGATCTCAAATCTTTCGATGAGGTGATCATCATATACCTACGCATTAATTTTCTTACGTAATTGTCACTCAGATGGAGCCTACAGTCTGGGTTCTGAAGTTTACATTTTGAAATTGTAGATATTAAACTATAGTTCTAGGAATCAATTTCGATTGATCAACGTGTAAGTAGAGTGGAAAATCTTAGTGGTTTTAGTAAAGCCAAGCACCCTTTAGTAGTGTAGGTACCTACCTTTTTGAACTTGTGTCATTTCAACTCTAGAACTGTTTGATGCAGTTTTTCGCTTGATTAACTGCTAAAAAGTCTAATTCACTTTGCTGGGTCAGTAGAAAAACTGAAGATGTTTGCCCTTGTGGTGCTAAATGTCCACTAACGATAGTGATATACAGGGTGGTTTTTTAGTGCGATAGAATTCATAATTTCCGTTAGTGTTGATGTTTCGAAAAATTGTTCCATATAAAAGTTGTTGACGCACAAAGTGTGCACGTTTTAAAAATCTCTTATATGATACAGAGTGTCCCAGAAAAGCTAGGCAAGATCAAAGTGTATTTTTTTAAATAGAACTATCTATTTTTCATTAGCTCGTGGAATGAAGCTTGAAATGGTGCATATGCACCGTAAATTGTTTCTTTCTTACTTGCAAAGGCACATTATCGACATTTTAGGAAAATTATGCTCCAAAACATGGCATCTAAAAATTCATTGTAGAAGCAAAAAAAAACAGTTAAAGATACAAAAAAATTGAGCTGTATGGTGAACTGGAGCTCCACCCTCTAAATACCACATTCTTTCCTTGATATAATTAGGTAAATGATCAATTAAACGTGGCAACTCAAATTTTGACACTTATTTATTGACTTCCATAGCCAACGTACAAAATGTAGCTTCTTTTTGAAATTTTTAAATAAAATAAATTATAATTTGAAAACGGTTGATTTCAGAGCTTAAAGTGTAAATGCAGATTTGCAACTTTGTAAATTGTCTATCTAATGACGTATTAATATACAGGTACTTCCAATTGAAAAACCAAAGTTATATTGCGTTAAAAAGTTTTAGATTGAAGTCCACATTGTTAACACCTTGTACAATATATTGATATTTTGGTTCAACAGAATTCTTAACGGATCTGTGGTGAATGGAACGACGTGTTTTTTTGTATTTCTAACTGCTTTTTGTTGCTTCTACAACTAATTTTTAAATACCATGTTTTTAAGAAAAAAATTACTGAAATCGCGATAGTCTGCCAACGTCGTAAGTAAGAAAAAAACAATTTACGGTGCATATGCACCATTTCAAGCTTCATTCCACAAGCTAATGAAAAATGGATAATTCTATTTAACAAAATACACTTTGATCTTGTCTGGCTTTTCTGAGACACTCTGTATCATATAAGATATTTTTGAAATGTGCGCACTTTGTGCGTCAGCAACTTTCATATGAAGCTATTTTTCGAAAGTTTAACACCTTTGGAAATAATGGACTCTATCGTACTGAAAAACCACCCTGCATATGTGTTATTTAGTTAGTTAATAAACAAAAAAATATATTAAAATATTTAGCTTACGCTCCTGTCCGCTTAATGTAGGAAACATGGTGGGTACCCACATACAGGCAGACATTAAAGAATCAAAACACAAAACAGCATTTCTACCTCAAGACCTTAATGTAATATAATCACATCAAATATACGAATTTTAATTTGGTACTGATTTAATATTTCGTTCTTCACATCGTCACACACTGACCTCCAAAACATATTTCAGATAAAAAAACAATTTTTGAGATACTTGCGAGAAGTACTAGTAGTTGGTTGTTGAGAAGCTTGTGTCTTGCCACTACCTAGATAAAACGGAATCCGCAAAACAACAATTTTCCATTCGAAACGCTTCAGATAACAGTTATGGAAATTAAATTACTTATAGCGGTTATCGAATTTTCATAAAGTATATAAATAATTGCCTGTAAATACCCAAAAACTAAATATTACAAAAGCTCTTTTAAATTTTCGGTGCGACGCCAGATTTTAGCTATTACTTTTGGTTAGCGCTTTTTATGTTGCCATGAACACTTCATGGCTTCTGGAAGCTAAAATATGCTTCTAATCAAATCCTTTTATTCATGTATCTCTAGCGAGTAAAACGCGTAGTCATTTAAAGTAAAAAAAGTTGTTAAAAGGGATATTTTTAAGTGACAAATTAGACTTGTTTAACAGTTTTTAAGTAGAAATTAACATTTTATTTCAGATTTTATCAAATCATATCATGTACTGTTATTAGTTAAAACATTTTCGAAAAACCAGTTTCGATTTTGCATCAATCGGTATTTGGCCACTTTAAAACGTAACTGTTTTATTGGTCATAACAAGACTTCAACTAATTAAATAGCCATTATTACCAATATGTAAACAATAAAGTCACGAGTTTCATCACATGTGGTGTAAAATAAAGCAGATGATTATTTCCAAGTGCCGAGTAACACGTTAGTATGCCAATTAAGAATGTTGTGTTGTTTTTTTCGGTAAAACCTGTATTCGGTCACATATTGCCCAGCGATATTGGCCCTTTGTAAAAAGAGCTTGAAAAGAAACGAAAAAATAAGTTGAAACCTTACCAGAATTGAAAATAAAGTGGAATTCTGCAGGCACAAAAATCAACAAAGCGACCATGAAGCGACCAACTATGAAACGGTTACGTTTTGCCTCATAAACCTTTTTATAAGTTTGCTTTAATTTTTGTCACTAAATCGATCTGAATAGAAAAAATAGGGGTTTCCATTTGAATTTTTTGGGAAAATGCCTTTTTTGACAGTTTTTATAAAGGATGCAAAACTCATTTTTGGCACATTGAGACATGGCACCTTTGGCTACCACAAGCTAAAGTTATATTCAAATTGATTGACCTAAATAGGCGGAACAACGAATTATTTCCAAGGCTACACCTGTCAATTTTTTGGAAAAATGGATATTATACCACAACGGTTGAAATTTTGTACCCAGCTCATTTAACAAAATGTCCCAAAAATATGACCGATAATTCAAAAATGTAATAATATACAGGGTGTTCCATTAAAAATAAGCGAGTAAGTACCTACTTCCGGTATAACCGGAAGTGGTACCGCCTTGAAAATCGTTACACAACATCGTTACCTTGTATTGGAACTTTCAGAACTCTGGTAATTTTGGTTTGGCGAATACTTCTAGTGTAAGCTCCCAAAGACGGACCCTGTATACTTCTACTTACTCGGATTTCAGTTGTAAATTCAAGTCTTGTCTGAGCTTATTAGGTATCTCCTGTACATGTTAACTCAAACGTACCATTTTGACAGTGTGCGTCATTTTTTCAATTTCAATATTAGAAGAATCATTGAACCTTAAAATTTCTGCTACTTCATTAATCCAAACTAATATTGAAACATTACAAAATAGTTTCTCTGTTCTTATTCTAGTTCAGAACGCTACGATTATACAACACATAAGTTGATTCTTCAAATGAAAACATTGATATTTTATTGCTCATTATAATGCTAACATTCTCAAAAATTCATTTTTTTCACTAACGGAACGCAGCCATTGTCTAGTCTAGTAGCCCCTTATTAAGGTTTGCAAACATCTCTTAACAACTTAAATAACTTAGATGAATGAAAAATTAGTGCCTAATTGAGTTGCTTGTTAATCGTCAACTATTAAATCTGCAGTTAACAACAAATACAGGAAATTTCTAGAATAAAAACTCTTTTTGATTTGAAACTGATATTACAATAAACACAATTCAAAATTTGGTTGGGAAAACTTAATTTTTCCAGGCTTGTCACATTGCAGATTAGCTTCTAGAAGAACCAGAACCAGAAGATTGCAAACAAGCGCTAGGTGATTAAGACGGCGTTCATCAGCGTGCTTGAAATGCCCCTTTGAAATCAGGATGACTTAGAGTACAGGCTGGTTTTTGACTTCCCTTCTCAATTGCTGTAATTTTTATCGACATCAGAAAAGTGGCCAAAAACAATGAACCTGAATACAGTCAGAAATTTTGCAGTTAATCAGTCAGAAAATTAAGTTTTTGTCGTATAATAATACTGTTTCCGTTCTAATACTGTTTATTTAATGATGGGTGGTAGTTCTCTACATATTTCTGTTCCACTATGTAGCAAGTGGTGACGGGTATACAAAATAAGAAAAGTAGTTAAGCGGGAAGCAGACAATTATCTGAAAATAAACTGATGTCTCAGAAAAACAATTTAAGTGAGTGAGTCCAGACCTTCTACTTTCTAGAAGCTTCTACTTTCTAGAATTCATTTGAGCGAAGTGCGCCTCACGATCTCAAATCTTTCGATGAGGTGATCATCATATACCTACGCATTAATTTTCTTACGTAATTGTCACTCAGATGGAGCCGACAGTCTGGGTTCTGAAGTTCACATTTTGAAATTGTAGATATTAAACTATAGTTCTAGGAATCAATTTCGATTGATCAAAGTGTAAGTAGAGTGGAAAATCTTAGTGGTTTTAGTAAAGCCAAGTACCCTTTAGTAGTGTAGGGACCTACCTTTTTGAACTTGTGCCATTTCAACTCTAGAACTGTTTGATGCAGTTTTTCGCTTGATTAACTGCTAAAAAGTCTAATTCACTTTGCTGGGTCAGTAGAAAAACTGAAGATGTTTGCCCTTGTGGTGCTAAATGTCCACTAACGATAGTGATATACAGGGTGGTTTTTTAGTGCGATAGAATTCATAATTTCCGTTAGTGTTGATGTTTCGAAAAATTGTTCCATATAAAAGTTGTTGACGCACAAAGTGTGCACGTTTTAAAAATCTCTTATATGATACAGAGTGTCCCAGAAAAGCTAGGCAAGATCAAAGTGTATTTTTTTAAATAGAACTATCTATTTTTCATTAGCTCGTGGAATGAAGCTTGAAATGGTGCATATGCACCGTAAATTGTTTCTTTCTTACTTGCAAAGGCACATTATCGACATTTTAGGAAAATTATGCTCCAAAACATGGCATCTAAAAATTCATTGTAGAAGCAAAAAAAAACAGTTAAAGATACAAAAAAATTGAGCTGTATGGTGAACTGGAGCTCCACCCTCTAAATACCACATTCTTTCCTTGATATAATTAGGTAAATGATCAATTAAACGTGGCAACTCAAATTTTGACACTTATTTATTGACTTCCATAGCCAACGTACAAAATGTAGCTTCTTTTTGAAATTTTTAAATAAAATAAATTATAATTTGAAAACGGTTGATTTCAGAGCTTAAAGTGTAAATGCAGATTTGCAACTTTGTAAATTGTCTATCTAATGACGTATTAATATACAGGTACTTCCAATTGAAAAACCAAAGTTATATTGCGTTAAAAAGTTTTAGATTGAAGTCCACATTGTTAACACCTTGTACAATATATTGATATTTTGGTTCAACAGAATTCTTAACGGATCTGTGGTGAATGGAACGACGTGTTTTTTTGTATTTCTAACTGCTTTTTGTTGCTTCTACAACTAATTTTTAAATACCATGTTTTTAAGAAAAAAATTACTGAAATCGCGATAGTCTGCCAACGTCGTAAGTAAGAAAAAAACAATTTACGGTGCATATGCACCATTTCAAGCTTCATTCCACAAGCTAATGAAAAATGGATAATTCTATTTAACAAAATACACTTTGATCTTGTCTGGCTTTTCTGAGACACTCTGTATCATATAAGATATTTTTGAAATGTGCGCACTTTGTGCGTCAGCAACTTTCATATGAAGCTATTTTTCGAAAGTTTAACACCTTTGGAAATAATGGACTCTATCGTACTGAAAAACCACCCTGCATATGTGTTATTTAGTTAGTTAATAAACAAAAAAATATATTAAAATATTTAGCTAACATGACTGGACTGTGCGTCTAGGTGCCTCGAAGAATAAGATATTGTATAAATAAATTGCAAAGTAACTATTTTTTCTAAGAGAGACATATTAACGGTGAAAGCCGTTTGCAACGTTGAAAAATCTACCATCTGACGGAATCAAATGGTTGATTTTCTCAACGTTAATAACCTCTTTTCAAAACATTAAAAACATTTTATGCATTAATAACTCTGTTTATTATTTTTATTCTTTTTCTTCCTCGTGCGTTAGGACTCAGAGTCCTGTGTTTTTCTTCAACTTCCTAGTCCTGGGATGCTGATGTCCAGCTTTCGTACCATCGCTTCGGTGGTCTTCCTGGGAGTCTTGAGCTGTTAGGTTTTTGGTCTATGGCGATTTTTGCCATGCGGTCGTCGGCCATTCTCTCTACATGGTCTCTCCACGCTCTTCTCCTTGCTCTGGAGATTATTTTTATTATTATTTCGAAAACACATTATACATACAACCTTGAATTTTTTTCACCAAGTAGGAACTGACAATAAACTGCATTAGAAATATCTACTATCAAAAGAACAGGATGGCATCGATTTGTGATTTGTTCCTGGTGATTGGTTAATGGCAACAACACATTTTGCACAATTTCCTTTGAGAAAGCGTTTTCTAAAATCGGCTTCAGTATGTTTCTCTAAGGTATTTTCCATATCTCGCATATAGTTGAAAATAATATAATTATTATCTGAATTGCGTATCATGCTTGTTGATGTTTTCTTTACGTACCTTTGTAGTATGTTGAAATCTAATTCCAAGTCGTAGAGATCGTTATCTATATATTTAAAACAAAAATGATATAAAAACATAAGAAGTTGAGAACTTCCGCTAACAAAATAGCTTTGGCTATCGTTGGGATGTCTACATCCATCTCCGACAAATTCTCACCGCGTCGCCCAACAACAATAAAGTGCGCGTGCGTCAGATGCTCAACCAAACGGCTGTGCAACTAAAATTGCCTCCAGCGAACGTCGGAAGGGCGGCGTATCGTAAGAGATCGACTATGCATACCGGTCTTAGTCACATATCTATTTTCCAGCGATTTTAAACTATATTTCTTATGTTCTTTACAAAGTCAGCGATTCTGATATCGGCACGGTTTTTGGATAAATATGCCCTGCGAAACGTAATTTTTTTTGGATAAATCCAAATTTGGGATATAGTTTATGTCTTGTAAACTCAGATAAACAAGTGGTTTTCTTGGGTAAATGTTTTGCAGAAGTAAGCAAGTCTTTGTGAATCTCTGAAGTTTCAAGTTATTTTGATTTCTTTAATATCAAATTAAGTTAATTGCTTTTAAAGTAAGTTATTAATTAATTAATTTTAAGCACTCCCGTGCTTTCCGACTAAGAATGATGATTCATTCTTAGTCGGAAAGCACGGGAGATCACTTCGCCCACTGCCTCTTCGCCTTTGAAAATGTCCACCGCAGTTGTGGACGAAACGTCAGGAAGAAATTCCGATAGACCACGGCTTCAAAGCCCGGAAAACATTCCTAAATGTGATATAAAGATAGTTCTTAATATATCGTTAATATATATTATAATCGTTTATCGACATAGTCACCTGCTTACTGTTTTTCCTTTACGAATTTATTTGCGAATCGTGGAAAAACAAGCTTCAAATCAAAAGGTGTCATTAGATACGAATCATCTCGCATATTCACATATCGTTAATGGAAGTTACGAATACAATAAAACAAAAATCAATTTTTAATGAAAAATGCTGATAAGTCAAGACATTTAATATAGCCGTGACATGAGTGAGTTAAAGTTAATTGTCATTCCAATCAATGGTTGAAAATATTCTCGGTCATATGATTCGAGTATCATACGTTAATTTGCGTCGTCACGTGCTTTTGTTTATTATATGGTGTTAAGACGAGCATCTTAATTTAAAGATCAGATTGCAATCTGTGCTTGTCATGAAACACTACGACTTATTTTCATTGAGATCTATTCGAACAACGATTGCCCAGTTTTCATTTTTTGTTTACTTCAATTATCAACACATTTTTGACTTGGTTTTATTTAAAAAATTGGAAATATTCTCTCTTAAGTTGCGATTATAGCTTGGCTACCTTTTTGATACTTAAAAACACACATAAGAACTTTTTCAGAAGCGGTTCTCCTGAGTAAAATCATTAATTAATTAACACAATCTTCAAACATGTTTTAATACTGCAAAACCTGTTTGACAAAATTCTTACTTAATTTGAAATACTAATATGTTAGTATATGGGAGCCTCGACATAATATTGTGAAGACGACGTTAGTTCTTTCTATCCAATGTTTTGTACTACTTGCTATTTACTACCGTTCAAGCAAGTTTAACAGGATACAAGAGTACGATTAGACCTAATATTTGATTATTAAGAATAATCGCTACACACAAAAGCCGTTCTAACCCTTCACAAAATCAAAACAACCAAATTTCCAATCATATGAGGCTCTTACTTAGAACCTGTAAATTATTTTGACAGATACGAAATACGATATTGAAACGTCGAACTGTACATATGTTCATTAAACTCAATCGTGGACCAACTGAAAAAATGCCACAGAGTTAAAAGTGCATAGAACGAGCGTATCAAATGTTATTAAGCCGTTGAATTTTAGGCAGCACATGAGCGCGGAGGTGTAAATGAACAGTTCAGGACTAAGACAAAGTCAAAGTTTGCCAAGAAGTTTCTCGTTTGGCAAACTTTGTGTAGCTGTGAGGAGCGCAGGGAATCTTTTGTAAGGACTTGGACGATCAGCACCGAAATTGACGTAAGAGTGTGTCTCCAAAAAAGATTGTTGCCATTCATGAAACAACAAGTCTCAACTTTCTTTCGGCCAAACTTGGCTTCGTGTCACTACAGTAAGAGAGCTATAGAATGGTGCCAAATGAATAAAGTCGTTTTGGTGCCGAAGGAAGCCAGCCCACCAA